TTATGGGCATGCTAAGAAGGCATCTGAATATATGAGTTCAGGCCTATGTCTAATTTTTAGACTCATTTTTCACCACTGGCCCCTGTAGGTCTTTAGGTTCTAGCCATATTGAGCAACCTACACTTTTTCTAGGCCCCTTTTTGCATAAGCTGTTACCTCTGTTCAATGAATGAATGAAGTTAAAGCTCAGAAGGGAGACAGTAATGGTTCATTCTTTGTTAGTCTATTCCTGCTAATATTTAATGAGGTTCACAACCCTACTGCTTCTTAGCTCAAGAATCTTTAAGCTCTCTTGGGGCTCGTTATCTGAGTGCTCTTTCTGGCCTGCTTCAGGGTGAGGACTTCTAATCAAGAAGCCCCATTACCTCCTTGTTATCTGTAGTATGTTTTGGTCTCTTGGCCTTGGGCTCCCCAGCAGCATCTTCATCAGATGATCTCCGCCTTTTGCCTTTCCCTGTCAAACAAACAATTGAATACTTAGGCTGTATCTCACAGGATGACAGGAAATGACCAGCTGTCTTTCATTCCAAAGACAGCTGTAGCTGCATCTAGATCAGAGTTGCTTAGGGGGCTGAAGAGCTATAAGAAACACAAGTAAATGATGAAATAATCTGAAACTCAACATGTTCAAAAACACACTCATAGTCTTTCTCCTCCAAAGACTGGTTCTCCTCTGATGCTCTCTTTCATAGCCAACAAGATCATCATCCTCCCACATGCACAAGTCAGACACACAGATGTCATTATTGATACTTGTCTCCTTCACTGTTTCTGTATTTCATTTTTCACCAGTCTGTCAACATTTACCTTTGCCCCATCCTCCCATCCTTTCTATAGACAAAAAAATCTTTTAAAAGTATAAATTAGATCATGTCACTTCCTTAAAAATCCTTTAGTGGTTTTCCTTTGCCTTAGCATAAAGAACAGATGCTCTATAAGGTCTCACTTGATTTAGGCCCCTGTCCGTCTCCCATCCAAGCACTAAGCAGGTAGATCCTCATTAGCTTCTGAGATCAGAACCCTGCCTATCTCTAACCTTATCTCATACCTCTCTTGCTTTGCTTACCATGCTTTAGCTATACTGACATTATTTCATTTCTTCAAGTACTACATACTATTCCCTTTGCCAAAAATGCTTTTCCTCTGTTACCTCGCTGTTAGCTTCTATTTAAAATCTTAGCTCAACTGCCACCTTCTCAAAGAAACATGAGACCTAAACTCCCAGATGAATCCAGTCCCCCATTATATAGTTTTTTTTTTTTGAGACAGAGTCTCACTCTGTCGCCCAGGCTGGAGTGCAGTGGCACAATCTTGGCTCACTGCAACCTTTGTCTCCTGGGTTCAAGCAATTCTCCTGCCTCAGCCTCCCAAGTAGCTGGGATTACAGGCATGCACCACTATACCTGGCTAATTTTTGTAACTTTAGTAGAGATGGGGTTTCACCATTTTGCCCACGCTGGTCTCAAACTCATGGCCTCAAATGATTCAGCCACTTCAGTCTCCCAAAGTCTCCATTCTTTTCCTTCAGAGTACTCATCACAGTTTAATTATGTATCAATGTGAGTTTCTGATTAATGTATGTCTCTTATACTAAAAGCCCCATGGCAGAGACCATGACTTTTTCAGTGTTATACATCACAATGTCTGGCATATAGCAAATACCTGGTAAATGTTCAGCTGGTTCATACTTTTAACAACCAATCAAGAAGAATCCACCGTTAGCTTAAGTCACAGTTCCAGGGGTTAAAATTCCTTACCTATCAAGCTCAGCTTAGGAACCAGGTACATGTCCTTCTCATTAATGACAAGTGTGGGGGCAGGTGGTGGTGGCCCGGGGTCTGAATTCTCAGTGGTAGGCACTGAGGGGCAGCGTTGTACAAAGTGTGTATCTGCCAATCGTACAAATGTGTTTGATACTTCAGCATAGTCCATGGTCTTGCCATCTGTGTAACAGGAGGAAAAAGGCAGATGAGATGGCCTAAGATAGCTCAGGGTCCACTCATGTAGCCAGCTGATCTACACTTTTGTTAACAGCTGTGGATACAGTACTGACCTTCCATGGTCTCTGTGAGCCGGTCTGCCACCTTCTTCACAACAGCTGACATTGTCAGTTTGCCATTCAACAGAAGCTCCTCAACAATCAGCTCTCCAGTGTCACTGTACAGAGTTTTGGTAGTATAGATGTACCGGGGATATCTAAGCATTCGTAATACCCGGCTGCACTGGGCTTCATACTCCACCACACCACGTTTGTGCACTTGATAACTCACCAGGTTATGTTGGACAAGAACACCACAGGGCTTTTTTTCACCTGGATGGGACATAAAGAGAAGAAAGAGAGGAAAGACCTGAAGATATAGCTCATTACTGCTGGCAGTTTTTTGTCCAACAGCTTACCAAGCATCAGAAAATGGCTAGGTAAGAATCTTTGCACTTATTTCCTCTCTCCATTGGAGTAGCTAATAAGAATCATATATCAATACAAGAAATCAGGAAGATTCCTTGCTATCGTTTCTCTGATCCTTATCCTTCAAAACAAAACACAATTTACTTTCCTTCTATCATTCTCATTCCTTTTTTTTTTGAGACAGAGTCTCACCCTGTCACCAGGCACCAGGCTGGAGTGCAGTGGCACAATCTCGGCTCACTGCAACCTCCGCCTCCTGGGTTCAGGCAATTCTCCTGCCTCAGCCTCCTGAGTAGCTGGGACTATAGGCACGCGCCACCACATCCAGCTGATTTTTGTATTTTTAGTAGAGATGAGGTTTCGCCATGTTGGCCGGGAATGGTCTTGATCTCTTGACCTCATGATCCGCCCTCCTCGGCCTCCCAAAGTGCTGGGATTAGAGGCTTGAGCCACCGCGCCCGGCCCATTCTCATTCCTTAAAAGCAGTACTGAGGTTAGCAGACTTACTGTGAATAAATGAGGTCTGGCATGGGAAGAGCAAAGATTTGCCTAAGAAGCTGTGATGAACTAGAAACACTCTGAGAAAGAAAATGTTGATGCCTAAGTCCCATCCTTTTCTCCCCCAAATAACATTGTTTGCTCCCAGGGCAGGCTTTTTCATTTTTTCCTTTTCTGGGGTGAGAAGAACAATATTCAAAGGTGAGTGAAATAAATTAGTGAAAGAAATGAGAGAAAATTAATGTCATTTAGACGTACCTGATCCAGCGATGTCCCTGTGTCATGGGCAATTACTCTTAGTGGCTGGCTGCCAGTTCTTATCAGGTGGACTCCAATCTTTTCTACAATCTCTCCAAAATGCTCTTGCAGCAACAAAGAACAGAGCTTAATTTCTGCTTGAGTCATTGTACTGGGGAGTCTGAGGGCTAGGGGAAAAAACACCGGAACAGTACGATGGAAAGTCTTTCTTTCATGCTGGAAGCAGAGCTGCTCACTGTAAATTCATGCGTTCTCTCTGGAGGGCAGTTTGACAACACATATCAAAAAGCCTTAAAATCTTGCATATCTTTAAAACAGCAATTTCTTTTTGGATACTATGTCCAAGGAAAGAATAAAAAGTTAATCAAGTCGCCAGGCGCAGTGGCTCATGCCTGTAATCCCAGCACTCTGGGAGGCCAAGGCAGGCGGATCACTTGAGGTAAGGAGTTCGAGACCAGCCTGGCCAACATGGTGAAACCCTGTCTCTACTAAAAATACAAAAAATAAAAATAAAAATAAATAAATAAAATAAAATTAGCTGGGTGTGGTGGCATGTGCCTTTAGTCCCCACTACTCAGGAGGATGAGGCACGAAACAAACCATAATAATAATAAAGTCGGCCGGGCGTGGTGGCTCACACCTGCAATCCAAGCACTTTGGAGGCCAAGGCGGGCAGATCACCTGAGGTCGGGAGTTCAAGACCAGCCTGACCAACATGGTGAAACCCCGTCTTAAAAAAATAAATAAATAAAATAATAATAAAGTCACTAGTTCTCTGTATGATACCGACTTACTGGAAACAATCTAATGTCTAATAGTAAATGATGGCATACTACACCGACATTTAAAGTTATTAAGTACCACATGTATTCGTGCAGAAAATTATTCATAATATATTAAGTGACAGAAGCTGCAAAAAATTAACATTCGATTATTGTAAAAAAAAGGAAAAATGTATGCATAGAGAAAGACTGTGCATCAAATTTATCTTTCTGGGACTATGCGTGATTCTGATTTTCTTTAAAGATAGGGAGTAGATTATTTCGCAGTCTGTCACACTTCATTGCTTAGGAGAATTAAGGTCACTGTTCACAGCCCGGTAGGAGTGAGCAGGTAGTGTTCATTCTCAGTGAACATTCTCAGCCCATAAAGGAAATGATAATTTCGAAAAAGAAATTTAGGAGGTAAAGGACTGCTTCTCAACAGGGCGTGTCAAATAGGAGATGAGGTTACATTGTTTTCAGAGCAGTATTCATTCCTGAAACTTGTACTCCTTGACAAAGTTGACACAATCAGAAACTGATGTAGTTGATTGTATGATTATTTCGTTATTACAAATTGCTACCAATTCTTAAGAAGCCAAGTCTTTGGCACCCCCGCCTAAGTATCACCAGAGACCTGTTTGATCCATGCACATATCTTCGGAGAAGCATCCCCAGACCCCTTGCCATCCTCGGAAAGGACTTCCAAGGCGCTTGGCTCCTAGCTCTTCACTCCCTTTACATAGGTTCGCCTTCCAGACTCGGTCTCTCGGTCAGAGTCAGCGCCGCCTCGCGCCGACAGCATTTTCCACTAACCTCAGGGTCAGCGCAATCCAGAGGCTCCAAACCCAACGCCTCCGAGCTCCTCGCGGCGGCTTCCTGCGGCTCCCGCTGGCCTTCCGAGCGGAGGTGGAGCCCACCGCCCTTTCTAGGAAGAGGCCGGCCACGGAACACAACGCAGAAAGGCGAAAAGCTCGTGCCGCTCTACCCCCCCCGCCCCGAGTTTCGGCGGCTTCCGGGGACGCTCTTCCTTTCTTCTCGCTGGAAGGCTGGAGGACCCGCGAGGGGCTGCTTGAGGAGCAGGCAGGCGGGCGGGTTGCCGCTCCTTCCGGCTCCTCTTTGGTTCTGGGAGGCGGGCCGCAGGGTCGCCGTCAGCGCCGCCGCCTCTCTGGGTCGGGCCGGCTCACGTGACCGACGCGGGCTCTGAAGCGGTGGGCCGTACCGAGGCGGCGGCGGCGACGGCGACGGCGACTGCAGCTCGAGAGGTAGCGGCCTGGAGAGGGACGGGCCGGCTGCCCTCTCGGACGGCCGCGGCGGAGGACAAAAATGGCGGAGGCCTCGGCGGCCGGGGCGGACTCGGGCGCCGCCGTGGCTGCCCACCGGTTTTTTCTGCCACTTTTGCAAGGGCGAGGTCAGCCCCAAACTACCGGTAAGAGCCCCATGCCCTCTGTACTCGGGAACCGCATAGATTCCTGGCCCCGATGTCCCCGAACTAGGTCTGGGGCTTTCCGCACACGCTCGACTCGCCTGGCATCGGTCTGCCGAGTACCTGCTGCCCTGTGTCCGCAGCCGCTGGCCCTAAGCCCCGGGCGTCACGGTCCCGGCGCTGTACCTCCTGCTCACCTCTTCCTCATCCTGGGCTGCTCCACCTGCCCTCACGTCTTTACCACCTCCCCCCCCACCATCTTTCTTTTTCTTTAGCAAGTTTTTCTTTGACAACTCTCCCATCAATTTTCTCGCACTCTTTTATACCTCGTCTTTTTCCCACGGTGACCTTCCCCCGTACTCTTTCCTCTGTGTCTTCTCACCTTCCTCTATTTTCACACTTTTAACCGCCCCCCCCCCGACCCCTCTTCTCAGCGAAGCAAAATAGCGGATTGCTGAGGATTGTCCCTATTCGGTTGTCTCTAGGGAAGGAAGCACAGAATGGGGCGGGAAGGGGCATTTTGCTTTTCAGTGGTTTCCAGGGTCGTTGTGAAGGTGAAAACAGCACCCTATTAATGCCTTGCAGACGGCCTGCACTCCTATCACTGATGAAGGAAATGGCTTTAGGAAGAAGGCAGGACGTATTGTTTCAACTTGGTTTATTTTGATTGTCATGCTGCCAGTGTCTTTAATACCATTGTTCTGCTCCCCCCACCTGCCCCGCGTGCCTTGTGTCTTTCTTCACATAAGAAAAAGGTCCCCGACAGAATGTTTTCACGACTTTTTGCCAGACTGTTAGCCCCTTGAGAGGCAGTGCTGTAGCCGTGAAGAAAATACTTTGGTAGGTCAGGCTCAGGTCTGTAATCTCAGTGCTTCGGGAGGTCGAGGCAGGAGGATTGCTTGAGGCCAGGAGTTTCAGACCAGCCTGGGCAACACAATGAGACCCCTAAGAAAAACAAACAACACTTCCGCAGCATGCTAGCCAGCACCAGCATCACAAATCCAGAAGCTGTTTTGGGTTGGGTCGTAGCTACCATGAGGAGCCCCCCAGGGTGAATGGCAGTCCTATCCTTGGCCAACTGTCTTTATGATTGCTCCTTTCCTTGGAAGCTTCCAGGTTCAGTCCTATGATAGAGTGGCAACATAATAATTGATGTTTGTATTTATGGTGTCTCAGATATAGTCTAGGAGAAAGCCTTCTAAAGTGAGTCTGTGTATCTTATTTCTTAGAAGCATAAATGGAGTCCAGGGAATAAGTGCTTAAAGGGTGTTTTAGTCTTCTCTCACTCAAAAGTTTTGTTTAAGGCTTTATGACATATTCTTTCCTTTCTACTTGTCCCACCCCAACTTCATAATCATAGTTTCATCTAAATGCTACTTAGCTTTTTTTGTTTGTTTGTTCGTTTGTTTTTTTGAGATAGTCTCTATTGCCCAGGAGCATGATTTTGGCTGATTGCAACCTCTGCCTCCCGGGTTCAAGCGATTCCCCTGCCTCAGCCTCCTGAGTTTAAAGTAGCTGGGACTAGAGACATGTGGCCACCAACCTTGGCTAATTTTTTTATTTTTAGTAGAGATGAAGTTTCACCATGTTGGCCAGACTGGTCTCGAACTCTTGACCTCAAGTGATCTGCCCGACTCAGGCTCCCAAAGTGCTGGTATTACAGGTGCCAGCCACCACTCCCTGCCTAAATGCTGCTTAGTTTTGCTTGCTGATTTTGCTCTGTGATGATGATGATGATTTTTTTTTTTTTTTTTTTTTTGCCATATTTCAGTGCTGGGACGAGCAGTTGCCTTTTTTTCCAGCTAACATCAGAGCCTGCAGAACTCTTACCATAGAGAGGGGAGTCTGGAATTCAGCCACTATATATGTGACCAGTGGTGTGTTGTTGAATGTGATGCCTTGTTGAATATTGCAGCCTTAGCTTTTTTCAACTTTAAGTTGCTGTTCATTATTTATTATTTTGCCTTTAAGAGTGAGAAGTTGGCCAGGTGTGGTGGCTCATGCCTGTAATCCCAACACTTTGGGAGTCCAAGGTGGGTTGATCACTGGAGCCCAGGAATTCGAGACTAGCTTGGGCAACATGGTGAAACCCCGTGTCTACCAAAAAACACAAAAATTTGCCATGCATGGTGGCACGTGCCTGTAGTCCCAGCTCTTCAAGAGGCTGAGGTAGGAGGATTGCCTGAGCCCAGGAGGTGGAGGTTGCCATGAGCTGAGATCACATCATTGCACTCCAGCCTAGGCAATAGAGCAAGACCCTGTCTAAAAAAATAAAAAAAGGGAGAAGACAGTCTCAGTTTCCACAATTGATTATATCTTTTCTTATCATCTTAAGTCCTTACTTCAAAGGGATAATTTGAAAGGCTGAATAGGTGTTTTTCTGAGCTCTAGTTAATGCCTGGAGAAGTTTCTTCATCATTTTGGTCTGATGTATTATTTGTCACGTCTGATTTGTAAGTTGAGGTCTAACAATTGGATATAACCAGATGCTGACTAAATACGTCCAGGGTTCTCTGCTTAGTGTCCCAGAGGTGATATGGAGCAATATGTGCTTCTCGCCCTTAAGGACCTTACAGCTTTTGGGGAAAGACAAGGCAAACATGGAAAAAGTAACAATATAATGAAGATACTGGTTTAGAATTCAGAGAGGAGATTTTCATCGCATTGGTGTTGAATTTTGAGGGATAGGTACATTTCAGATTGAGAATTCTAGAGACTGTGAGATAGCAAAAGGATGAGGGGGTTGATGAAGAAAGGAGAAACATTTAATCTTTTTTTTTTTTTTTTTTTTTTCTTTTTTCTTTTTTGAGATGGAATCTTGTGCTGTTGCTGGGGCTGGAGTGCAATGGCATGATCTCAGCTCGCTGCACCCTCCACCTCCCAGGTTCAAGTGATTCTCCTACCTCAGCCTCCCAAGTAGCTGGGGTTACAGGTGCCCTCCACCACACCTGGCTAATTTTTTGTATTTTTAGTAGAGACTGTTTCGCTATGTTGGCCAGGCTGGTCTCGAACTCCTGACCTCGTGATTTGCCTGCCTCGGCCTCTCAAAGTGCTGGGATTACAGGCGTGAACCACTGTGCCTGGCCTTGTTTTTTTTCCACCACTAAAAATTGTCATATACTGTATTTTTATGGTGTACAACATGATTTGGTGTTATGTATACACTGAATGGTTAAATCAACTTATTTAACATGCGTTACCTCACATACTTACTTTTGTGTGGTGAAAACACTTAAAATCTACTGTCTTAGCATTTTCAAATATACAGTATATTCTTTTTTTTTTTTGAGATGGAGTCTTGCTCTGTCACCCAGGCTACAGTGCAGTGACTCACTGCAACCTCCATCTCCTGGGTTCAAGTGAGTGATTCTCCTGCCTCAGCCTCCACAGTAGCTGGGATTATAGGCGCCCATCAATGCGCCCTGCTAATTTTTATATTTTTAGTAGAGATGGGGTTTCACCCAGGCTGGTCTTGAACTCCTGACCTTGAGATCCACCCGCCTCGGCCTCCCAAAGTGCTGAGATTATACAGGTGTGAGCCACCGCACACACCCGGCCAATATACAGTGTATTCTGATTTTTTCTTTTTAAATAGAGACAGAATCTTACTTATTGCCCAGGCTGGTCTTGAACTTGTGGGTTCAACTGATTCTCCCATCATAGCCTTCTGAGTAGTAGTAGATAGGTGTGTGCCATCATGCCTAGCTAATTTATTTTTCTTTTTTGTAGAGATAGGATTTCGCCATGTTGCCCTGGCTTGTCTCAAACTCCTGGGCTCAAGCAATCTGCCTGCCTCAGCCTCCCAAAGTGCTGGGTTACAGGCATGAACCATTGTCCCTGGCTTGATACATGGTTTTTACTTTTTTTTGTTTTTGAGACGAAGTCTTGCCTTGTCCCCCAGGCTGGCATGCAATAACGCAATCTCGGCTCACTGCAACCTCCACCTTCCGGGTTCAGACAATTCTCCTGGCTCAGCCTCCTGAGTAGCTGGGATTACAGGCATGCGCCACCATGCCCGGCTAATTTTTTGTATTTTTAGTAGAGACGGAGTTTCACCATGTTGGCCAGGCTGGTGTCAAACTCCTGACCTCGGGATCTCCCCGCCTTGGCCTCCCAAAGTGCTGGGATTACAGGTGTGAGCCAACATACCTGGTCTGACCAACGTGGTTTTTGTTTTTAATTCGGTTTATATGATGCATCACATTTATTGATTTGCATGTGTGGAACTAACCTTGGATCCCAGGAGTAAAGACTACTTACTTGATTGTGGTGGATTAGCTTATTTATTTATTTTTATTATTTTTTTCTTATTTTTGTTGTTAACTTTTTATTTTTTGTTTGTTTATTTATCTATTTATTTATTTATTTGAGACAGAGTTTCGCTGTTGTTACCCAGGCTGGAGTGCGATGGCACGATCTCGGCTCACCGCAACCTCCGCCTCCTGGGTTCAAGCAGTTCTCCTGCCTCAGCCTCCCGAGTAGCTGGGACTACAGGCATGCGCCACCATGCCCAGCTAATTTTTGTATTTTTAGTAGAGACGGGGTTTCACCATGTTGACCAGGATGGTCTCGATCTCTTGACCTCGTGATCCACCTGCCTCGGCCTCCCAAAGTGCTGGGATTATAGGCGTGAGCCACTGCGCCCAGCCTTTATTTTTATTTTTTTGAGATGGAGTCTTGCTCTGTCGCTCAGGCTGGATGGAGAGCAGTGGAACAAGTTTGGCTCACTGCAACCTCTGCCTCCTGGGCTTAAGCGATTCTTGTGCCTCACCCTCCCAAGTAGCTGGGATTACAGGTGTGCACCACCAGGCCTTGGTAATTTTTGTATTTTCAGTACAGACATGGTTTCCCCAGGTTGGTCTTGAAATTCTGACCTCAAGTGATCTGCCTTCCTTGGCCCCCCAAAGTACTGGGATTACAGGCTGCTGTGAGCCACCACAACGGCCTGGATTAGCTTTTCAATGTGCTGCTGCTTCGGTTTGTTAGTGTTTTGTTTAGGAATT